AAAAAAAAAAAAAAAAAAAAAAAAACCAAGCAGCGGGATTGATTTATTGAAATTAATATTTAAATAGGTCGCTCTAACCATATAGATAATATATATTGAATAGCGATTATCGATATTGTTATTATTATCTTAATTAACATATTTATTGAAAAACTATATTGTAAATATTTATTGTTTTAAGGATTTGGAATATGTATTCCACGGTATAATTATGTTATTGTGAGATCCCACATCGATTGGATAGTGGAATGAAACATTTCTTACTTTCATTAGCAGACACATGTTTTAAATTTAGCGGGTCAAAGCGGATGATATCTTCTAACGGTGAACTTGGGTTATTACAAATAGTATTAGAGGCAGACATTGAGCGGTGTGCCAGCGAGGATGGTGGACTCAAAGAGGGTGGGTTGTGAGATCCCGCATTAATTGGATAGGGGTATTAAACATTCCTTACAAGAGTGTGAGAAACCTTTCCCTAATAGACACACGTTTTAAACTTAACGAGATCAAACAGATGATATCTGCTATTAATGAACTAAATTATTATAATTAGTATTAGAGCCAGACATCGGACGGTGTACTAGTGAGGACAATGGCTCCAAACACGTATTTTAGAACTATGAGGCTAATAACGATACGAAACAGGCTAAATTGGATAAGAACGGTTACAAATGATTTAGATTAGATAACCTAAGCTCTACCAAATATAAACAAACCCCTTTATTAATTTTCTTTTTATTTAGATAAAAATAAATCATAATTAAAAAAAAAAAAAAAAAGTCACCGTCGGCAGATAAAAAATGATTCAAAAGTGTGATTAATGTATTTTTTATTTTTTTATTTATTAATTCACTTTTGTGTTTTTTAAGCTTCAAATCTGTTGGATTCCTTTTATAAAGCTTTTTTAATTTTCCTAATTATTCTAATTTTATAATATTTCTTTAATATATTCTTAACATTCAATTTCTTTTACCGAAAACTCGAAAATTTGCATTAAGTCAAAAAAGTTAGGCTTGTTCGTTCATTCATCTGGCTTACGTTCTTTACGTACCGGTTTAAAATAATCATATTTGAATAAAATAAAAAGAAGAATAATAATATTTAATTAACCTTTTTACTGTGAGGCATAAGCCACCATGTTTTACCTTGTTCAAAGGGGGATAGAATTTGCATTTTTCCACTTTTTTTTTCTTTATTTATTTTTTAATTAATTTCCTAAATATCACTTTTGAATAACTTTTTTTTTAGAATCCTAAATAATTA